TCAACCAATCAATCAATCAACCAACCAACCAACCAACCAACCAACCAATCAGTCAACCAACCAATCAATCAACCAATCAATCAGTAAACCAATCAATCAGTCAACCAACCAATCAATCATTCAATCAACCAATCAATCAGTCAACCAATCAATCAGTCAACCAACCAACCAATCAATCAATCAACCAAACAACCAAACAACCAATCAATCACTCAACCAATCGATAAATGTTAACTGTAAAAAAAAGAAAAAAAAAACGTATTTTAATTCAGTCCAATTCACTAAAACGTGAAGTAAAATAAAAATAAAAATATCTAAAAATAAAAACTAATTCAAAATATTAACGGAAAATATAATAGTATCTTGATACTAAAATAAAAATTAAAAATAAAAATAAAACCATAAAAATCTAAACGTTTTTGTTACTTGACAAAAAATAAAAGTTAATGGGAATAAAATAAAACGTAAAAAACCTGAACTTATTTTATTTCAGCTAGTTGCCAAGGCAACATTTTCCATTTCAAGTTAGTTTAACAAACTAAAACTGAAATAAAAATGAATAAAACTGTATCGACATATATTAAAATGCTAAAAAAATTACTAGAAAAATAATAAAAATAACAAAAATGCACAACAAATTGATTAAAATGTGAACTATAATTAGAATAAAAAGAAAAATATAGAAATAAAAACAAATTCAAAATAATAAAAACTACATTAGTATCTCAATCATACTAAAATTAAAACTAAAACCATAAAAAAATGTTACTTGAAATAAAATAAACATTAAGTGGAACAAAATAAAATCTTTAAAAAAAATCTAATTTTATTTTAATTTAACCTGAAGTACGAAAATAACTAAAATTTAAAAACAAATTAATACATCAACTATAACCATAATAAAACAACTAAAAATGACAAAAACACACAACAGTGTTACCCAAACTTTAACTAAAATTAAAACAAAAACAGAAGATATAAAAATACAGCATTGCAATTGTACTAAAACAACTCTGAAGTACAGAGCTCCACAGGAAAAATAGTGATGGAAGAAATATGTGAGCCTGCAGCACAAAAGCAGTGTTAAGTCGCTGGGGTATATTTGTAGCAACAGCCAACGATACATTGTATGGGTCAAAATTATACATTTTTCTTTTATGCCAAAAATCATTAGGATATTAAGTAAAGATCATGTTCCTTGATGATATTTTGTAAATGTTCTACCGTAAATATATCAAAACGTAAATTTTGATTAGTAATATGCATTGCTAAGAACTTAATTTGAAGAAATATGTGAGCCTGCAGCACAAAAGCAGTGTTAAGTCGCTGGGGTATATTTGTAGCAACAGCCAACGATACATTGTATGGGTCAAAATTATACATTTTTCTTTTATGCCAAAAATCATTAGGATATTAAGTAAAGATCATGTTCCTTGATGATATTTTGTAAATGTTCTACCGTAAATATATCAAAACGTAAATTTTGATTAGTAATATGCATTGCTAAGACCTTCATTTGAACAACTTTAAAGATGATTTTCTCAATATTTAGATTTTTTTGCACCCTCAGATTCCAGATTTTCAAATAGTTGTATCTCGGCCAAATATTGTCCTATCCTAACAAACCATACATCTATGGAGAGCTTATTTATTCAGAGATGATGTATATATCTCAATTTCACAAAATTGACCCTTATGACTGGTTTTGTGCTCCAGGGTCACATATGAGATGATGGGAGAACTGTAGCAGTAACAGATACGGGACTGGAACCTTCAACACAAAGCGTATATAAGGAAAGCAGAACTAACGAGTGCATATGTGTGATTGACTCACACAGCGCGTTGAGGGGCGTCGGGCGGGACGAGGCGCGTCCCAGTGGGTTTGCAGCGCTGCACTGGACGCGTGTGTCTCGGCTGATGTTATAGATGCGGACGGTGTGCGTGCGTTTGGGCAGGATCTGTGTGTTTCCAGACTCCACGCTCCACCACTGGTACTCAGAGACCGGCGGGTCTGCCTTACAGGAGCAGAGGAGCAGAGCATTTCCTCCGAGACGCACCGAAGCGCTCAGCACCTGAACCCACACGTCTCTGGGAGGAACTGAGACCACAAACACAAGCAGAATCTAGCTTAAAACCAGCTAAACAACTCAAAATCAAGATGCAAGCTGATATACAATAGTTCTAATTTTTATTTGTTCCCTCATTTTTTTTTTCAGATTCTCATGGTTTCGGAAAACATGGATATATGAGGGAATTTTAAAAGTGTGACTTCTAGACCTGGAAAAATTGTGGAAATTAATAAAATAATTTATATTTTTTAAATTCATTGGAAATAAAAATGTACACCCTGAAGAACATTCAGGTATCGAAACTTCCAGAATTTAATTATTTTAATTGTATTTATTCATTTTAATATTTGTTATTATTAATACTGTATCATTATTTAATGATAATAAGTGTAAACGCCGAAGAACATCCTGTTATTAAAACTTCCAGATTGTATCATTATTTTATTTTATTATTTTAATTAAATATTATTATTATTATTAATATCATTTATAATACTTAAATAATAATTCTATTATTAGCAAATTCATTGAAATTGCTATTTGTAGGCAAAAAAAATCTTTAAAATAATTTTAAAATATATTAAAATAATAAAAATAATAAAAATAATTAAATATAGCCACAAATAACTACAAACATCATGGCAATTACAGTAATTGGTAAATAAAAGTGTAAACGCCGAAGAACATCCTGTTATTAAAACTTCCAGATTGTAATTATTGAAATTACTTGTAATTAAATAATTATTACAAATATTATTTATAATATTTAAACATTTTATTATGAGTAAAATGTAATGTAAAAATGTAAAAGTACTGAAATTGCTACAGGCAAAAAAATCTTTAAAATCATTATAAAAAATAACAAAATATAATGAAACAATTTAAAGAATAAAAAATAAATACAGTCACAAATAACTACAAAAATCATGGAAATGCTGACGAATATCCAGTTATTAAAACTTCAGGAATTTAATTGTTTTAATTTTATTATTATAATTAAATGTTGTTATTATTATTATAAATATAATTACAATATTTAAATAATTATATGTATTTATATGACGAGCAAAATTATTTTAATAATAAAAAATACATTTAAATAATAAAAAATAATTAAATATAGTTACAAATGACCAGAAAAGTCCACTGACAATAAAAAGTCTAAACCCTGAAGAACATTCAGTTATTGAAACCTCTAGAATGAATCGTATAATCATTATTACAAATATAATTTACAACATCAATATAAATACTTAAATGTTTAATTGAGTTCATTTAAATTGCCACTCATAGTTTCTGTAAATGAAAATGAAAAGTCTTTGACTCCGAAAGGTTGAGAACTGCTGTGTTATATCACAACAGTTTCTGGCACACAGCAGTGAGATTCTGGTTTGAACTGGGTTTGTTAGTGATGAGGGTTTCTCACAGTGGACGAGGATCTCGCGGGTGGCCGAGGATCGTCTGTTGTTGGGATACTCCAGCTCACATCTCACTCTGGCTGTAAATGAAAATGAAAAGTCTTTGACTCCGAAAGGTTGAGAACTGCTGTGTTATATCACAACAGTTTCTGGCACACAGCAGTGAGATTCTGGTTTGAACTGGGTTTGTTAGTGATGAGGGTTTCTCACAGTGGACGAGGATCTCGCGGGTGGCCGAGGATCGTCTGTTGTTGGGATACTCCAGCTCACATCTCACTCTGGGGTTTGTGTGGCGCGGGACGGTGAAGACGAGGCTGGTCTGAAGCACCGGTAACCAGCCGGTGTCCCGCTGCAGCTCCGTGTCTCCGTGAATGCTGCTGCCGGCCGGATCGCCGCGCTCCCACTTCCACAGCAGACGAGGCCGATCGGACGGACAGCTGAACCTCGCCGAACAGTTCAACACGAGCCGCTGGCCCTCCTTCACCGGCCCCGGGTCCGTGAGCTGCGGCGGCTCCGGCGAACCTCATGAGCAAAACACATACACATTCTGTGTGATTAGATCACCCCAAACAACACGTCACTGCTGTTTTAGGACCATTAATGCACTATTACAGTTAGCTTTTAATTTAATTAATAATAATAATTTATGCATTTAGCAGACGCTTTTATCCAAAGCGACTTACAGTGCATTCAGGCTTTATACTTTTAACTATATCTTTAACGCAATGCTCTACCGCTGAGCCACAGGAACATATATTTTTTAAATATGTCTATACAGTTCTGTTAATATTTTGAGTTTGTTTTTAGCTTTTATTTTTATATTTCACATTGTCATTGTAGGTAATGTTTTAGACATTTTATTTTTGGAATTTTAAATTTTTTTTGTCTATAGAGTTTTTAGTTTTTGTTTTGTATTTGGCATTTTAATTTTAAAGTTTTAGTCATTTTGTTGTGCATTTTTGCTATTTTTCTAAATGTCTTTTTTATTAATTTATTATTTTTTTGTAATATGTCTATATTTTTATTAATATTGTGAATTATTTTTTATTTTTATATTTGCTGTTTTAATTTTAATTTTAAAGGTTTAGAAATTTTGTTGTGTGCTTTTGTAATTTTTATTATTTTTAAATGTCTATTTTTATTAATATTTTGAATTAGATTTTATTTTTATATTGTTTCATTTCAGTTTTAAAGCTGTAGGAATTTTGTTGTGTTTTTATAATTTTTATTAGTTTATTTAAATGTCTATATAGTTTTTATTACAGTTTTTTCCATTTTCATTTTAGTCCTTTTTTTGTGTTTTAGTCGTTATTATTATTATTATTATTATTATTATTATTATTTTGAAAATATGTCTATACAGTTCTTTTAATATTTTGAGTTTGTTTTTTATTTTTATATTTACTGTTTTCATTTCAATTTTAGAGATTTTGTTGTTTTTGTCATTTCTATTAGTTCTTAAATATATCTATAGAATTAGTATCATTAATGTACTATTATAGTTTGAATTAATATTTTGAGTTAGCTTTTATTTTTTATTTTATGTTTTTACAGTTTTCATTAATATTTTTGAATTCGTTTTTGTTTTATATTTTCCATGTTCATATTCATTTTAAAGTTTTAGTCATTTTGTTGTGCATTTTTGTCTTTTTTATTAATTAATTTATCACTTTTGTATAATATGTTTACATTTTTAATAATATTATGAATTATTTTTATATTTTTATATCTGCTATTTTCATTTTAATTTGAAAGTTGTAAAAAAATTGTGTTTTTGTTATTTTTATTATTTTTTAAATGTCTATTTTTTTTAATATTTCGAATTAGATTTTATTTTTATATATTTTTTTGTTTTAATTTTAAAGTTGTTTAATATTACTTTTTTATAATATGTATTATATTTTATTAATATTGTGAATTCTTTTTTTATTTTTACATTTTCTGTTTTAATTTTAATTTTAAAGTTTTAGAATTTTTTTGTGTTTTTGTTATTTTTTATTATTTTTTAAATGTCTATTTTTTATATTTTGAATTAGATTTTATTTTAATATATTTTTTCGTTTTAATTTTAAAGTTGTAGAAATTTAGTTTTTGCAATTTTTATTAGTTTTTTTTAAATGTCTATATAGTTTTTAATAATATTTTCAATAAGTTTTTATTTCTTAAATGTTGCGTTTTCATTTTAATTTGACTTGAAATGTTAGAAATTTTGTTGTTTTTGCCATTTATTATTTTTATGTAGTTTTTAGTAATATTTTCAATGTTTTTATTTCTTAAATGTTCCGTTTTCATTTTAATTTGACTTAAAATTTTAGAAATGTTGTTGTTTTTGCCATTTATTAGTTTTTTTTTAAATATCGATATAGTTTTTATTAATATTTTCAATACGTTTTTATTTTTATATTTTTTTCCATTTTCATTTTAGTCCTTTTGTTGTGTTTTTGTAATTTGTAATTTTAAAGTTGTAGAAATTTTGTTTTTGCAATTTTTATTAGTTTTTTTAAATGTCTATATAGTTTTTAATAATATTTTCAATACGTTTTTATTTCTTAAATGTTCCATTTTCATTTTAATTTGACTTAAAATTTTTGAAATGTTGTTGTTTTTGCCATTTATTATTTTATGTAGTTTTTAGTAATATTTTCAGTAAGTTTTTATTTTTATATTTTTTCCATTTTCATTTTAGTCCTTTTGTTGTGTTTTTTTTTCTAAATATGTCTACACAGTTCTTTTAATATTTTGAGTTTGTTTTTAATTTTTATATTTACTGTTTTCATTTCAATTTTAGTTAGTTGGAGATATTTTGTTGTTGTTGCCATTTCTATTAGTTCTAAAAATATATCTATAGAATTTTACATTTTTTTAAATTAGTTTATTTTTATATTTTCCGTTTCCGTTTTAATTTTAGCTACAGTAATTTGTTGTGTTTTTGTCCTTTTTAATTTCTATTTTTTTATATGCATATATTAATTTCTAATCAGCTACTAACTACTAATCAGCTTTAGTTATTTTATTACTTCAAGTTAAACTAAATGAAAATTTGAAATGTTGTCTTAATGTTGAAGTTGTTATTTTACAAGTAACATTTTTACTGTTTTTTTCTGGCTTTAGTTAATGATAATAACATGCATCACATCAGAGCAACATGAGTATACCAGTCACGCTGACGTTGACCTTGCTGCCCGCAGGCCATGCCCTTTGACCCCGCTCCCTCATCTGCAGCTCGTATGTGTTCTGGTCGTCTCTGCGGACGCTGCTGATGCTGACGGAGCAGTCGCCGGCGCTGATGTTCCCCGCGAGCGCCGTTCGCTCTCTGAAGTCGGGATGAACGGCGTCGCCGCGCTCAGAGCTGAACACCAGCTTCCTCAGCATCATGAAGAACGGCGTGGAGGATCTGATGAGGCGAAGCTGCATCGTCTGAGCGGCCGGAGCAGGGCTGAAGGAGCAGGGGATGACGAGACACGAGCCCTCCAGAGCCAGCACTCGTCCCGGGACAGACAGAGAGACAGCAGCACTCGGCCCAAACACACACGCTGAACAGACAAAACAAAACCACCGCGTTAATGTTACAAACTGCTAATCAGTTGCCGTAAATTAAATGTATTTTCAATTTTAATTAAATAAACATCAATTAATCATTTTCATTTCAACATATGCTAATACGTTATTACAGTAATACTTTTATTTTAGTTTACACTACAGTTTTAGATTTATTTTGTGTTTTTTTGTCACTAAGTTGGCTTGAAAATCCTATTTCAACTTCTTCTTCTTCTTCTTCTGAGACCAAATTTTAAAATGTATCTCCTCCTAGACTTTTAAAGCTACAACCACCAAACTTGGGTCAGACCTTCAGACTGGTCTGACTCGGGTTGCTGTATCTTCTCTAACTGATCCGGCTTACGGTTTTCGTAAACCAGACTATCAAAACCACCTAAAATCCCATAGACTTTCATTGAGGGGGTGAAAACTTTTATACAATAAGACTTATGGTGTATTTAAGCTGTCTAATGCTATAGCAAAGCTTAACAACTCCCTACTGAAGAAACAGCTAAAACCAGCCTAAGCTGATTGACTGCTTTGGCTGGCCTCCCAAGCTGGTTTTAAAGTAGTTTTGGCCACTTTTTTAGCAGGCCAGGCTGGTCTTAGCTAGTTTTTAGCAGTTTATTTACTGAATCAACTGGTTTTAGCTGGATTAGCATAGAAA